AGAAATAGACCCACACATATATGCACAACTGATTTCCAATAAAGGTGCAATAACAATTTAGTACAGAAAGGACAGTCTTCAGTGGAGAAAGGATGGTCTTTTCAACAAATGATGCTGGAACAATTGAAAATTCATTTGCAGAAAAAATGAATGTTGGTCCAATCCTCACACCATATACTAAAGTTAAGTCAATATGGATCATAGACCTAAATATAAAACCTAAAACTATAGAACGTCTAAAAGAAAACATAGGAGAAAATCTGATGACCTTGGATTAGGCCAAAATTTCTTAGATATGATACCAAGAGCATGATCTATATAAGAAAAAATAGGTAAATTACGCTTCATCAAAATTTAAAACTTATGCTCTTCAAAAAACTGTTAATAGAATGAAAAGACAAGCCACAGGCTGGGAGAAAATATTTGCAAATCATCATCTGATAAAGGATTGATGTCAACAGTCAGTAAGAAAACAACTCAATTATTCCTGTGAGTTCATACACACGGAGACACTGTGCTGTGATGAGCTCTCCCTGCCTTGCCAAAGAGCCAGTCAGCTCTCCCAGATTCCCCTGGCCTCCTTCCTTCCTGGGCCACAGCTCTTGGGACACCACATCCAGACGCCTGACCACAGCCATGCCCAGGTGCAGACCATGGCAGACAGGAGGCTGGGACCTGCAGTCAGGGTGCATCAGGGATCCTTCTGCTCCCAGAGAGCCCACCTCTGCCATGGGCAGTGCCTTCCAGCATGGGGAGGTTCAGGTGGTGTCCCTCGCCAGATGTGGCCATGTTCACATGGCACACCTCAAATCGTCACCACAGATCTACAGCAAGGTGCAACCGTTCCCAGCGTGACCCCATTAGGTAGCTCCACCCGGGTACAAGGTCCATGAGCACATTTCGCCATTTAATTTTCTTCATTGAAGCATCTAAAATTATGCTCGCTTGATGGTGAAAAGTTAGGGTATGACTTAAGAAAAACAAGTCAAGGGGCCGGCCCGGCAGTTAAGTGCACGCACTCTACTTCGGTGGCCCGGGGTTCACCGGTTTGGACCCCGGGCACGCACTGACACACCACTTGTCAAGCCATGCTGTGGCAGCATCCCATATAAAGTAGAGGAAGATGGGCATGGATGTTAGCCCAGAGCCAGTCTTCCTCAGTAAAAAGGGAGGAGGATTGGCAGATGTTAGCTCAGGGCCGATCTTCCTCACAAAAATAAAAAAGTAAAGAAAAAGACAAAGAAGTAGATAAGAGAATTCAGCCCAGAGCAACTCAACGCCCATTTGAAAAATGAAATCTAAATCCAACTGTATTAGTGTGCTGGGGCCGCCATAACAAAGCACCACACCCCGAGGCTCAAACAACAGACATTTATCTTGTTACAGTCCAGGAGGCTGGAAGTCTGGGATCAAGGTGTGGGCAGGGCTGGTTCCTTCTGAGGCCTCTCTCCTTGGCGTGTAGACTCCGTCTTTTCCCTGTGTCCTCACCTGGTCCTCCCTCTGTGAGTGTCTGTGTCCTAATCTCTTCTTATAAGGACACTTGAGTCAGATTGGATCAGGCCCACCCTAATGATCTCATTTTACCTTACTTATGCCTTTAAAGGCTCTACCTCCAAGTGCGGTCACATTCTGAGGCACCAGGAGCCAGGGCTTCAACATATGAATTTGTGGGGGACATAGTTCAGCCCATAACAACAACCCAGGATTCATTTCATCCCACTGAGCCATCAGCATGATTTCTTAATCCTTTATGGTTTTCTGAAGCAAAGAAGAAAACAAAAACACTTGCAAATGTCATCAGAAACCATTTGCATACTCATGTGTTCCCCAGACCACAGTTTTCCTGAAGCACAAAGTTTAATTTATGCAAAAATGCAGTACTTAGATTCCTTCTAACTGGAATTAGCATCCGCAAGTCGGAGCCACAATGTGGGTCTCAGCCTTCTCACACTCACTAGCTTTCTGCTTCCGCTGCCTCACCCTCCACCACGCTGCACGGAAAGCCCAGTTCATGCTGCTCCTTACAACCTAGCCCATATGCCTCTCACAGCACGGACTCTCGTGAGAAAAGGGGGCTACTGTTTACATCCACTATGTGCCTGGCATCAGGCTGCAGACTTTATCTAAAAGAATCCATTTTGGGGGCAGAAGGGTTCAAAATACTACACCTCAGCACGGCACCAGCCTATCCAGCTAACCCGCAATGCCCTGAGGAAGACGAGCCTCCCAGACCAGGAGGACGGGGCTCCCTGAACATACCCCTGCCCCCAAGCCAGAAGTGCTGACCCGAACAGAATGGAGAGCCATGTGAACAGGACCCAGCCAGAGACCCACACGTGGACCCCTGCAGGAGCTTCTGGAGGTCTGATGGGACCTGGGAGGCCTGAGACGCCCCAGACAGGGCGACTCGGGGAAGTGTCACCAAGGCTGGGGTCAAACAACTAGGATGAGGAGGAGAGCTCCCACTGGTAGTCCTGAGCCACCAGCCCCAAGGCCAAGAAAGTCATGACCTCTGGGTACTTGGCAGGGGCATCCACATCCAGCTGGCAACTGACTCTCACAGACGCTGGGAACATCTGGGGATGGGGGACCAGCTAAATCTGGCCTCCAGTGATCTCCCCAGGACGACAGTGCTCTAAAATCAAGGCCATCAAGTGGCCCGGTAGAGTGGGCTGCAATCAGCCACCTCTGTCAGAGCTGCACATTTTAACTCGGGTTCACCAGACCTTTCGAGTTTCGAAGGCACGCACGTCAGCCGGTGTGCACAGGCCTTTGTTCAAGCAGCCCCTCCCTGATTACAATGACCAGCCAAATGCCCACCTCTCTGAGCCTGCCTCACCCCCGAGACATTGTCCACCCTTCACACAGGGGCAGACCCTGTTCCAGCGATTGCTGTTGAAGGAAGGAAGGCAGGAAGGAAGGAATGGACAATCAAATGCACAAGCAGCACCACGATAGTCAAATAGAATATGAAGCAGCAGTGAAAGTAAGGACAAAATGCCCCATTTCAAGAGAAATGTTAGAAGTGAAAAACACTTCCCAACTTAAACATCTGAGCTTTGTAGAAACTCACGACAGTAGGAGCCCCTGACCCAACCCAAGGAGGCCCAGTAACTGGCCGGCTGAACAAAGACGTCACGGTGAAGAGGCTTGATTAAGTTACAGTACCTACACGAAGACATCCTCTAGCGGCTCTTCTAACTCCTTTTTCCTGGGTGGGTGGCTGTGTAGAAAGCCAGGACCCACAACTCGTCAGCCACAATTTCTAACTGTGCTCTTGTGTGGAAAAGCTCTCACCGCAGCCTGACGGCCAGGCCCTGAGAGGCCTGTGCAGGGCTGGCCCTGGCTGGAGGCTGGGAGCCTGGATGTCAGGAGGGTTCCCAGCACCCTAACTGATAAGAGTGGCTCCTGTGCCTCACCTGTTTGTGCAAACAGTGCAGTCTATGCTGACACCCCTTTCCTCCTGGGGGTCTGGACTTGGGGACGTGCCAGGCACAGGGGCCCACGGGCCCAGCCCCCAATGAAAGCCCTGGCTCTGAGCCTCTGATGGGCTTCCCTGGGAGACAGCACTCCACACGTGTTGTCACAGCACGCTGCAGGGGGAATTGAGCGCATCTTGTGTGATGCCACGGGAGAAGATTCTGGAAGCTGGAGCCTGTTTCCGCTGGACTTCACCCCACGTTCCCTCTCCATTTGCTGATTTCATTTTGTATCTTTTCACTGTGATAAATCTGAGCTGTGAGCACTATATGCTGGGCCCTGTGTGTCCTTCTAGTGAAAATTTGTGGTGGTCTTGGGGACCTGACACAGGAGTCTTTAGAGAGGAGTGAGAAATTAACGATGCTCGTGTTGCTCTATGAGTGCAAGATCCTTTCGGCTAATCTGTAAGACTTGTTTCTCGACCCTTTTGAAGTTGCCTTGCCCACATCTAATTCCAGAGGTTTTCCTTTCTGAGATTTGCCCTGTCAAGGCTATCCAAAGCACCCAACTTGGTTTTCACCCCATTTGGTCAGTTTGTGTAACATGCAATTACAATAGCCAGTGAGCTGGCCTGAGCAGGTTTGGGAGCAAATGCAACCCACTGCTGGGAGCCGCAGCCGGTGGTGGGAGCAGGTGCAGGCGGGGGTGCCAGGGAGAGGACTCCTAGCTGCGAGCAGTCAGCGTGCTGCAGGCACAAGGAAGGACATCCTCCAGTGGGAAAGCAGGGCGTCAATGGCCCAGCAAGTCAGGAGGCCCTCTTGGCCCCTCTAGTCCCTGGATCCTCCTGAGAGATGGAAATGGGGGGTGCTCCTGGGGGATCATTCCAGAAACCAGCCAGGACCTGCTCCTCCTGCCCCGTCAAGCATTCTGCAAGAACCTAAGTCCTTATCTTACCCCCTTGATGCTGCAAACAGCTTCCTGGCACCCTGCCCACTCTACCCCCAGGCCCTACCTCCCAGGGCAGGAAGGATCCAGCAAAGCCTGTGGGCAGAACACATGGAGGACATTCCAGAACTTTGTGAATGACCCTGATTGTCATTTGACAAAACTGTGCATCATGCCACATGCTCTCGTGCTGGTAAAGCCTCATGAACATCTGGTAAACTGGAAGGATATTTCCAGCAGGGCTTCCAGGGTCATCTCTGAATTCTGCAGCAGGAGCTCTCGGCGCCGTGAGGCAGCAGAGCGAGAGTCCATGCCAACCTGCTAGCCCTGCCTGTGGGCCCCAGCAGGCACATCCCCTTTCCTGTGCTGGCTGAAACCCTGCTGGCTCTTCATCGCCCCCACCTCCGATGTCTGCTCTCCAAAGGTGTCCTGTGCAATTTGCCACTTCTAACCTGGCTCTTTTTCCCATGCTGTCCTGCTCAAGATCCTACATCCCGGGTCTGGTTTTCAGATGGACCGAGAGGGCTCCAGCTCATCGTGCCCAGTACCTCGCCCAGGCTGACCCTGAGACGTCCAGCAGGTGACAAAGCCTCAGGTTCGGCAATGACAGGCCCCTCTGCCCCACGCCCACTCACCTGGCAGGAGCGGAACTGGCTGACAAGTAGCGTGCACCGCTGTGGGTCCTTCCGCCCGTCCAGGCTATCCAGCTCGGCGGCCACCTGGTTCAGCTCCTCGTCGGCATAGTAGAACTGGGCCAGCAGCTGCGGGTCCGACCTCTGCAGGGGAGAGAGGCACAGGGAGCGTGAGTGGGTGATGGCCCTCAGGCAGGAGGCAGGGAAGCATCGGGTGGCGGCCTTGTTCCCAGGCAGAGTGTCAGTGGCTGCAGGGCCTGAGTCCTCAGCCCAGGGCAGAGCAGCAGCAGGTTCTCCTGCCCACTTCCTTCACAGGAATCTATGCTGCTCGTCCCCTGGCCTGCCTGTCCTGAGTCCCTCTGCCTCTCAGCCCATGGGGCTGTGTCTGCTTCTTGGAAGGCCCCAGAGCACAGCGTCTCTGTGGGGAAGCCAGACATGGAGTTCCCACAGTCCCCTGTGGTGGGATGACCTACAGATAAGGGGCTCGGGGAGAGTGGGGTCTTAGGGGGCCATGGGATGATGGAATCAGCTCTTAAAAAGTAGTTTTTATTCATAAAACTAAACCAAAATGATAAAGACAGCCACTGAAGGAAGTGGCCAGGACTAATACAACACAATTTTACTCGAACACTGACTGACCGTGCATCATAAGTGGCTGCCTCCCCTGCTCTCTGGAAGCTTCTCAGCCCTTGGCCCAGTGTCTGTAAGGCCAGGAAATGCCAGTGCTTTGTGGCAGGAAGCCCTCTTCTCATCATGAGCCCTTGTGGAAGGGGCTCACCTTCCACGGAATGCAGAGTGCTCCTATTCTGGGTCTGGAAGAGCAACCACCCCACTGAGAGCAAAACCCTGCTCCCCCTCTGACCACCTGACCTGCTGGCGCTCTGCTCCAGCGCCACCAGCCTTCTCCTCCCACACACCAACACCAGGAGGCTCACTCCCCTGGGCTCTGCACTGGGCTCCCTCCGCCCGAGGTGCAAATGGCTCATTCCTGGACCTGAGCTTCCAGGATTAGGAGAAGCCCACGGAAAGAGAAGAAGCCCTCAAACAGATGATTATAAAAGGCATTCTTCAAGATCATGCAGAGAAAGGCAAAGGGGAAGGAAAGACACCAAGTCACACGCGTTCAAGTTTGCTGGCAAAATCACACACACACACACACACACACACACACACACACACACGGCACAAAATTGACACTTGATTCACTCTTCGTTCTACCTAAGAATTAGCACACGGTTGTGTTTACAACCTATATTTTGTTAAACATAAGATAACTTAATTTCATAATTTTCAGCCTCCCTTTTTCTCTCAACTTACTTCTCAATCGACCCCATCGCCTCCCTTCACTCTGGCATCTGCCCCCTCCCCTTCACATGGCCTGTCCCAGGGTCACTTTTCCTCGGCTTGGGGTCTTGGTCCATCAGTGCCTGACTCTTGGTCAGCTCCTGAGGCTGGCCCAGCCCCCTGGGGTGGGAGTGAATCTCCAAATGAGGCTGAGCAGACCCATGGGGGGTGGGCAGGGCAGCCCAGCTTCAGTGGTTGGCCAAGAGGTGGACATGTGATCTGGACAGGGCCAACAGGAGGCCTTTCCCAGACCTTTCCCAGGAGGGCTGCGGAGAGAAGAACCCATTCCTTCATTCATTCACCCATGCACCCCACCAGTGCTGCCTGAGGCCCGCTCTGCGGGGGACACACTGATGTGGAATGGGGGAATGTGGGATATGGGGACGTGGAACGCTGGGACGTGGGACTCAGGGACGCGGGATGTGGGGAATAAAACAGACACAGGTGCTGCCCTGACGGCATCCCAGCATCTTTGCCTCCCTGGTTGTGGGAGCCTATGCGTCTCCTCCACAGGCTCAGCTGACTTGCCTGGGTTCCTGTCACATCCAGGAGGGTCACCATTGACCCCTCTGTGATGAAACGGGAACAAGGTTGGGGTCAGGGGCTGCGTAATACTTTTTTGCCTCCTTTCTGTTGTCTTTCCTGTCAGCCTTTGCTGACTGGAAGGAAAGAGGGAAGGAGACAAAGGAAGGGTGGTGAGGATGGTGAAGCCCCCAGGCCTGCCCCATGGGCCTAGCACTCCAGGGAGGGTGATGGCCCCCCAGAGACTTTCAGAGGAAGGCCAGAGGCCTGGCTCTCTCCCTCTCGGACGCAGCCCCAGAATTCACACCTGGCTCCCTTGGTCGCCTGCCAGCTTCGCCCCCTCAGCCCCGGGCCCCACGCGCCTCGCCCCGAGGAAAGAGGAGAGCACCTCGCACAGCACCTTGTTCCCAATTACACGGGGCCTTCCTTCCTGGGGGGGGGCTGCAGTGAGGGGATGAGGCCGCCACCTGACCGATGACATGTGCCAGACACCGCTGGTGGTGAGCCAGGCGCCCTGACATCCAGCTCAGGAGCTGACCCTGGTCACCACAGCCCACCGGGGTCCTCCTGGCCCCAAACCCACCACCTCCCCTCACAGCGGTGGGGTAGGAAGGTGGGGAATGCGGGCACGGTGGGGACAGTCCCACAGCAGACGCCTCGCTGTGACCCAGCACCTTGCCCGGAGCTGGCCTGATGCCCTGCCAGCATTTGTTCCTGCAGCCCTGACCGCTGCTCCTGACAGGACACCATTTGGCCCAGCAAACAGGCCGGGGACTGAATTTAGGGCACTGGATGAGGATGCCTCCAGGAAGCTGAGTATCTCTGCTCTGAGAAAGAGAGCACAACGCAGGGGCCACGCCCTAACCTGCCCAGAGAATAACTCGGAATCAGTCTTTGCCCTAGCACCTACAACCTCACCACATGTAAATAGACCTGAATCCAAATATTGACACCAACTGCCCCGGTGAGCTTGGCCCCCTCTGCTGTTGGCTGTGCAAACCACAGCCAGTGGAGGCAAGGACGATGGAAGGTTCAGGAAAGGCTGATGGTGGCTGTGGTGCCAGCTGTCAGGAAGACAGAGCCTTGCCTCTCACATGCTCCCATCGGATTGGGCGTCCCCTTCCGTGGACCCAGAAGGGGACTGCGCCTCGAGAAGGCTTTGCACTAGGCCTCTCAGTTCACACACAAGCCTTCTGCTGTGTTTTGGAGAAGCTGACAACTACCGTGTGTGTGTACATGTGGGACTGTGTGTGTGGGCAAGTGGTGTGTGTTGTGCATGTGTGTACATGTATGGCTATGTGGCACAAGTGTGCCTGTGTGTACACACATAAGTGCACGTGTGTATGAGTGTTTGCATGTGAGTGTGGATGCATGTGTATGCAGGTGAGTGTGTGGGTTTGGGCGCGTACGCGTACAAATGTGTGTACACGTTTGCACCTACAAGCATGCGTGAGTGTGCTTTTGTGTACATGTGTACACATGTTAGTGTGCATGTGTGGGGCTGCATATATGTACATTGTACGTGTGCACAAGTGTGTGCACGTGTTGCACAACTGCATTTGTGAGTGTGCGTGCTGAGTATGTGTACACTGATGTGTGTGCACACATAAATGTGTGTGCCTACAAGCATACACGAGTGTGTGCATGTAAGTGAGTGTGCATGTGTGTGAAAGAATGTGAGTGCACGTGTGTGCAGTCTGGGGAGAGAGGCTGGGAGGTGAGGAGCCAGCTGACACTCCCAATAGTGCCTTCACCCACAGTTCCCACCACCCCTGGAGTCAAGCCCCCCTCCTCCTCTCTCCCCTACACTCCTCCCTTATGGCCCATTTGGGGCCCATTTCCCATCCTGCAGCCTCCTCTTTGTTTTGGGGTAGAAGCTAGTCGGAGGGGGAGAAGTTAGCCTGGACAGAAGGACCAGACACTTTTGCTCTCTAACCCCCTAACCAGGGAGGTCACTCTCGTGTCTTCAGTGCCCAGCAGGCAACTAGATGGGGGAGAAGACAAAAAAGAGTGGTGGGGCCCGCGGAAAACTGGAAAGGGCGCGCCTGCCCTGTGGAAAGAAAACAGTACCCAGTACTGAGTGAACCCAACACCCGCCCCCCCCCCCAAGACTTGTGTAGGCTCTAAATGTCTCCATGAGCATGAATAACAAACACTCTCCAAACTCCTCCTCCTGCTTTCCCTGTGAAGGGCATGAGGTGCACACAGCAGAATCTGTCACCTTGGAACCGATGCACAGAGACAAACCTCAGGTCTCACCTTGCTTTGATTTCAGTAAAGACCTTAAAACCAGACCTACAGATGTGTTGCAAAAAGAGAACTGTAACCACACACACATAAAGCAGAATAAATTAGAGAATTCAGAAAATTCTTTTTAAAAAACTAGTGATTTTCTTTATTTTAGAATTTTAGTTATACCCTGAGATAGCTTTCCAGCCCTCTCAGGACTGGCATTTCCAAGGGAAGACTCACACGTTCCCTGTGCCTTCCAGGGGCGTGGCAGTGTGGCAGGAGGAGAACCTTGACCAGTTGTGTCAATCACGCCTGCCCTGAGACCCCCAGGCGCTGTGTGAGATAAAACCTCCAGGCAGGGGTCCCAGGAAATGAATTAACACAACTTACGAAACTCAATTTGTGCTGATTAACAGAATCCAAAGGAAAATTTTGGTGCTAAATTTCCATTTCTAAGTATGCAGAGTATGAAGTGAACAACGGCAGTCTTCACCTGCTCATCACTTAGATCTAAATTGGTCCAGCAGGGCAGGGTCAGCCTCAAATCACCTGACTGGCGGGACTGCTGAATGGAAGAAGGTAATGTTTAGGAGTGTGACAAGTTGTCTTTCTTTGATTTGAATCAGCCAGCTTTATTCAACAACATCTCAAAATTAAATTTTAAATTAAACTTTTTAATATCCCTCAATAAAATATCCACAACAGAGAATCAATTGATATAAATTGGAAGAAGTATTTACCCTATTTTTAAATAAATATTGTAAGAGAATAAGTTAGAGCCCAGTAGGAATGTCTTTTAAAATCATACTATGTCAATATTTTCTCAAAGATAAATTCACAGCAGTGAAAGTTTTGACTGTTACAAGAAAACAAAAATACATCATGAAGAAAGCATTTAACTTAGGAGATAACATGACCAGTGAACAAGCAACCTCAAAGAAGGCGGGAGAAAATACGCAATGACAAGCAGCACTGAAAAGTTCAAAAGTGCAAAAATAGACTAGTTTTGTAAAGTTGATTAAATTATTCATTCAAACACCTGTTCC